TTTGCTTTCGTTAATGAGGTAATGATGTTTTAATCTTGTGTACTTAATATGGAAATCATCGGAGTTGAGTTCAACCAAAGAGGGAAGTAATTAACAGTCCTGTAAACAAACCGAACGAACACGAATGTAAGTATATTTATGTTCGTTCGTTTAACTTTAACCGAACAAATAAACGAACATGAACAAACAGAAATGAACGAACATAAATTTTCAGATGTAAGTAATTTTCGACCATTCTTTTGTTTCAATTATTTATGACAATGTGAATAGTGATCTAAATAAATTTTCAGTGAATATGATTTATGATTATTGTTAAAAATAATGAGTAAACATGTGCATATAGATTATTGGTTGCCTTTATTCTCTAATGGATTAAAAGTTTCTTAAATAGCTCAGCATGTTCAAGGATGCGGGCGTTTTGCTGCAGCTGCAGCTGCCAGCACCGTTGCCGGGAATTGGCACTTCAAAACCAGGGTTCGGAACAAATGTGTCATCTCCACCTGGAATATAGCCCGATCCACCGTTCGAGTCGCCAATTCCTCCGCAAAACGGATTCTGGGGTTCAAGAACCGGCGGTATCATCACTCGTCCGACGCCTGGAATGAGTTCGCTGACATCGTCTCCATTCTTTAGAGTACTCGGGATGTTACGCGTCGCACTGCTTGCATAGCAATGGAAAGCACGATGCCGCCGACCAAAACTCGAGCAAGAAGCAATGAAGTCATTTTTGAAGCCGTTATCAGACAAGTACGTATCAAGATTTGAAGTAATTTTTGGATGATGGAAAGAAGGAAGAGAACAAGGCTTCTTATAGGCGAGTTTGAAGCGAGTTGGTCGATGGTTTGGCGGTGTGTTAAAGAAAAGGCCATTGAAACATGTCGGGAAAAAGCAGAAGCCATAGCAGATAATAGGAAGGCTTTAGGTGGATTAGGGTTGCCAGGTCCGGTGAGATTTTGCGGTGAGTTATGAGCTTTTCCGCCTATCATCATGTGTCTTTTTTAACCATTTTCGAGACCTTTAAACTGGGGTGCCTTGTGTATGGTGTTTTACAAATTCTCGTCCACTAATTATTATTACTAGCTTGGTTTAGTACACCATTTACTTCAACCGACAAGCTAAGCGTGTCCAATGTAATCTTCTTCTTTCCCCTCATGTTTCAGTATGCGACCAGAAATACTGAACCAATGAACCACATGAATTGTAGCCAGTCAAATGAGATCAATAAATTTAGAGCCAAGGCTCAAATTTTATATAAATTTTAATAACTTATATTTTCTTATTAAATTTTAGTTCGATTAGTATGATTGTTACGATACTTAAAAGATGGATTTAGAGGAATGGGTACTTTACCCTCAACCAAAGTAGTACTGGTTGGATTTGAGAAATCCAATTAATTTTACACAACACGAACACATTGTCATTAGACACCAATTCACAAGGACTTTTCTTTTCCTTGGATGTTACAGAAACACAAGTTCTGTTCCGCTTCGAGAGAATGCAAAATTTAAGGGTTCGGTCTTTCCTCGGAAAATCTAGGAAGCTGGACAAGTGAGTTCACTCTTGTCACACCTTCCAAACCCGACCAGTTTTGATCTTCTGTCGAAACTGTAAGCGCATTCCCTTCCAACTCTGCCGGCACCATTCTTCCATAACTATCGGATTCTTCCGATGTTCTAACCGTAAAATTTCTTGGCAAGTACGGCTCCGACTTCTGCCCATCACTGGATTCATCTGCATTGCCAGAATGATTACTTTGAAGGGTTGCAGAAGAATACCCCTTGTTCCTCGTGGTCGGATTCCGACTCCATTTTCCCATCCAAAAATAAGCAAACAACTGCACAATCATCCATTTTTGAAGTAGAATACTTAAGTTTCCATTCGCGTGCAGCTGAGTCGACCAAAGACCTGGCAGCTGACGACTGGGTCGGAGCTGAGGATACAATCTCAATCACCTCTTCATTGCTCAGGACATCCCAAACCTATAATAAATTAAAATGTTTTGATACTTGAACCTGGCTTCAGGGTACAAATTGATACCTACTTTTTTTTATGCATTTCATAGCATTGAAATGCAATGAAAAACTGTTCTGGTCAACCTTGAATGGATCAAGAGAAATGTGCGAACCAAATTCATATATAAAGGGAAAACCAGAGAAGAAAAAAATTACCCCATCTGAAGCAAGAACGATAAATTGATCTCTATCAGTGAGGAGCCGATGGGAAAATTCGGGTATAGAGATAACGCCATATTCCTTCAAACAAAAATCCCCGAAAGCTCGAGCCATTGCCAGCCCAGGGGCATCATCAAATGGCAGCCATACTCGAGATACTTCAGGTTCATCTTGCAATGCGAAGACCCTACCTTTGCATTTTTTAATCCTTTCAGCTTCCCCTGAGGCATTTCAATTGAATATTTAGTATATTGCATATATTTAAGCATCCCCATAGGAGAAAACAATGGTTTGAGATCAAAGGTACTCGGTAAATCAGGCTTCAGATCGACTGTCAATTGGATTGCGACCATTGAACCATTGCTGTCCTTTGATCCCATAATCGCTCGAGAATCTCCTATATATCCCATGAACAGGTTGGGGCCCTAATAGAGTAAAATCAACCCACATGAATTCAATGAAAGCTAGTAATTTTGAAGATGAAGAGAAACAAGCATTGCTTATCTCGTACCTGTTTGACTATAGTGACAGCAGTGCTACCACTACAAAAGCAGTCCAATTTAGGATGGGACCTCAACTCTTTATCCATGGCCTTGTATGACTTCATGAATGCTTCTCTCCACGAACAATTTAATCTGTTCTCCGCAACGCCATCCTTGTCGGAATCTCCACCATCCATTTTGTTTGAATTCCCCTTTAAACATGATCCTCCAGATTTGTTTTGTCTCGACCGATATGAATGCATGGAGGACAGCAACTTTAGGGGCAGGGCATCTCGCACTTTTCGAGCAACGAGATGACCTTGTGGACCATGGCCATCGAATACACCACAAAAGGTCACATCTTCGGACATGAAATCCTACACGAATTTTAATCAAATCAATCTCGTTGAGCTGTTCACCTCAAAATGTAAAAGAATCATATAATCAAAGGAACTCAAATTCAAAGTAACATCTAAAACTTACTTCCCATACAATCATGGCATCCTGGTTTACTCCCTTCCGACCCTGCTGAGTGAATATGCAAGAAGTTCGGCTCTTACCATTTGCAAAAACCCTGTTGGGAACCGAGGGTAAATTCTGCACTGCAATAACATGATCTGAGAATGTTCTATTCGTCTTCTTTGTCCCACAAAATCCGATCTCAAAACATGTAGGTGAAACCGACTGTGCCTTCCCATGGCTCCCAGAACTGCAAGTACTCCGACTACTAGTAGAAACACAACACCCCATTTCACCGGCTTCACAAAGAAAACGCCAATTCAAGTGAAAAAGCAAGATGTTCCTCGTTGAGCTAGAAAAGATCTCGCGTCAAACCATATGTAGTACAAAGACTATCACGCCAAAGATTCCCACAAATCACACCACAGGCGACTTTACACCTCAATGTATATCTTTAAAACTTGGTCAAACATAATCCATTGAGGATTCCATATGGAGAAAACAAAACCAGCTGATCAAAAACAAGAAACCATAGTTAATTGATTTATTCACCCCATTGTTCCAAAACGGGTGCAAAAATAAAACGTTTTTCTGTGAAGGAAATGCATATAATAATCTTCCATGTGCAACTACAATAGAGTGGACTTAAAGTCTGTCCCAATAGTTTGTCGTTCATAAGAAACACATTGATTAGAATCCAAACAGCGAGACCTTATTAAATTAATCCAAAGACTAAGATTAGTAAAAAAATAAAACAAAGGAACATTGAAACCATAAGAACAAGAAAACGATGGAAATATTTTCAAACCATGGAATAATTAATTTAAAGCAAACCATGGAATTTTTGTATTCCTCTTGTATCATCTCCAATCACAATGAAAATCCATTTTAATTTTCAAAACAAAGGGTAAATCCAACAAGATCTCAACAAGCAAAGTAGCAAACCTTCCACTCACATAGGCCTATAAGATATTAACAAAAGCATTAGATTTGAAGAACATGCTTGATGCTTTACCTTTTCTTCTGATGAAGAGAACTCAAAAAGTGAGATGAAAACAAAGACTAAGAGCTAGCTGAGAAAACGTGCCCATCAGGCGAAAACGAAGAAAGGTAGAGTTGAAAACTTGAGGGAAAAGAAGAAGAATAAGAAGAAGCTGAGTTTAGCTTTCTCAGGCCAAAGTAAGAATTTTTTTAGAGAGAGGAAAGAAAAGGGAAGAAAATGGTTCAAATTTGAGTAATGAACTGGAGGAAAACCGGAATGAAGGAGATAAAGCAAAATATGAAAAAGCAGAAAAGGACGATACAAAAGAATGATTTTGTCAACACAACAAAAAAAGAGAATAGTACAGATCAAAGTTAAACATAAATAAGAAAAGGAAATTCAAATTCACAGTTTTGTTCGCTGAAAATCATTTCCTTGTTGTATAGAAAACAGAGTAACATTAATCTCATAAACCTGTAACAAGTTAGAAGCTTTTTGCATGGACAATGCTATAGCTTAGCTAAAACAAACCAAAAAGAAGCTGGAGGACATTCAATGAATGAGAGAATGGGGCTCAAGGTTATGAATTAGACGAGACAAAACCCAGAATCTAAGTACCTTTGTTTGCAAATTTCACGTTGTTCGGGAGAAGCAGCGAAAGGCGGAGGAGAAGTGAGATTATAATAATTACAAGCGTGGCGCATTCATTAACTGAGAAAGGATAGGCAAAGAGAGAGTCCTTGAAGGCAATAGTAGTCAGGAAAGGAGGGATCTTTATGCACTTCCATTTTCCATTTCAGTTTGTATTTGTCTTTTGGGCTTCGACTTGGTTAATGCTGAAATTTCAAAACAATGATGTGAGAACAGAACAGGGCAGAGCAGGCGGGGGGGGAAATAATGATAAAAATGGAACATGGAAATGGAGATTTGGTGTATGTGGTGGGCCGCGCCAGCACCCACATGACTGATTACATGAGGATTCAGGCACTTTACTTGCTTTACAATGTGGGTTGGGGAGCTTTGGATTCGGATTTTCACTTTAATTTTGAATCTGGTTTTTATAATATTATATATCTACAAGGAATGAAATAAATACTTACAAATTTTGTAACATGTAGTTTTCTCTTCTAATTTTTTATTATTGATAATTCGTTTTTTTTATTATTGATTAACGGCGATGTCAATTTTAATGTTGATTGCGACTGTCAGTATTTTTTATTATTTTTTTATTTTTTCTTATTTTTTTATTTTCAATAAGTTTATCTGTATGTCACGTTTTCATCTACCTTTATGACACGTTTTCTTTTGTCTTTTGACACGTTTTTCAGCTGTTTGATCATAGTTTTCTTTTATATTTTTCTAAGTATTGATTAAAAGTCGCCACGACTGATCAAGATAGAGCTTATTTGTTATATTGTTAATCTTTTCTGTTTTTGATCCTCGAATTATATTTGGTACCCGTTATGCGTTCGTGAACGGCTTTTCACGTCGCTCGAGTCTAATTTGCGGATTGTCAGTGGTCTTTCAGTAGCTTGATCCCCTTTTATGGTTCGTTTGCCAATACGATCAGATATATTTGTATCTATTTTTATATGAATTTATTTGTTAGATTTTAATCTTTCCTTGTACGATCATCATGTGATCTTAAGTTGCTAGTTTTGTTTCAATAAAAAATAATTATAGAAATACGATCAGATATATTTGTATCTATTTTTATATGAATTTATTTGTTAGATTTTAATCTTTCCTTGTACGATCATCATGTGATCTTAAGTTGCTAGTTTTGTTTCAATAAAAAAATAATTATAAGAAATTGTCCTAATTATATGCCTAATTTACGATTATAGCTGTAAATCTCGAGATAATTTAAAAGACATGGAAGGAAATAAACCACACATAAACGTATTCAATATCGTCTTTGAACGATCAGAATCTAAAGAGCGAAAAATCCTAAATTAAACACGTGAGGTGAGCATAAGAAGGGAGTCAAGGTTGAAGGCGTCCGTTTGTTTTTAAATTTTAAAATAAGAAAGAAAACGTGAAAAAATAAAATACTGATTGACGAGTTAAAATGCATAACCATTTTAAACAAAAATTGCAACATAAAACAAATCATTTAAATGATCAATACAATTATACTAATAAAGTCATTTTTCAATGTACAATTGCTTAAAGCAAGGAGGTCAATTTTCTTAATGTGATATTTTAATAGATATCATATGATCATTCAATATGTATACGCATATTCAATATTTTTTTAATATTTTTAATTGCACTGATTTTCATATATAACTTAGAAGTAATATAACATATTAAATGATTTCAATAGTAAAACGAAATATTATTTTTTTTCTAAACGTCTTAGGTTTAACCAACTGCATCTGTTGATCTCTAAAATTTTTTATAAATTGTTTTTATATAAATTTATTATAAAATGTTTAAAAAAATAAAATTAATATATTTTTAAAATACTATTAGCACCCTTACATATAAATTTACACTAATTAATCGTTTTTATCCACTTAAAAAATCTTTATACAATTTCTAAATTTGATATTCTAAAATAAATTTTCTTTAAATTTGCTCTTATCTAAAGGTATGTATATATTATCCATAAATTAAAAAAAATTATGAATATATATATTAACTTATAATCAGAAAATTATTTTGAAGCATTATTTGCAAAATGAAAAAAAAAAGTAGAAAAAGATGATTTCCAACTCTTTATAAAATGAGTAATGTGGGCAAACAATCACGGCTATATCATCTATTAAATTTTTTTCTCTTTTAAATTTGGGATTAAATTTTAGCTTTTTCTATTGAATTAACTACACATTTAGTACCCTAATTGTCTTTTGTTTCATTTCGATCATCTCACTACTTTTTGAACCATAGTTAATGTTTAGTTTTAGTTTCATTTTGGTCACTAGCCGTTAAAAAACTTATAGTGATATTGATTAGACATGTCACCATAAGGTAATGTCATGTTATCATTGAAAAAATTAAAACAGTAACGTCAATAGTTATGTTAATTTTTTAACTGTGGGTGATCAAAATGAAATCAAAATATAACATTAAGTATGATTTTAAAAAAATATAATTGAATGATTAAAACATAACAAAAACGATAATTGTGATACTAAACTTGTGGTTTACCCTTCTCTATTTTTAAAAAATCACCAAAACCTATCACTGATAAGGACTTTAATTTGTCCTTTTTTTTAAATCTCTTTCTTCTTGTTTAAAAGGTGAAGATGAAAAGTAATAATATATCTTTCCACAACCATACTTATCTTTACAACAAAAAAGCCTAAGATATAGGCCATTTATTCTGCCTTTTGATTCTTTAATTATATACTTAAAGTAATCTAGTTAAAAAATTATCATCAACTTATTTAGCAAGATAAAATATTATTTTTTAGTAAGATTAATTTTATTTAAGATTGGAGTTCGAATTCTGATGTTATAAATGAAATAAATTATATTAGAAGAATCGTTCATAATGAACTTTTACATTTTACAATATTGAATATAAATTAATTGATTAATAAATCATACATGATTTCAAAGAAAAAAACTGATTAATATACTTGATTTAAAATAATTACATATATATTTATTTAATCTTACAACCTTCACAATAAATCGATCAAATTAAAATCAAGTCAACTAAATGTATATCAATGACTAAATTTCCCATTTTATTTTAACTATTTATCTCCACTTCATATTGTATATATCATTTCACTATGACATCTTGTAGTTATAAAACATCATTTTGAATCTGATAACAAAGTAGATGCACCTATCTCTTCATCGATCTCCACAGTTGACTTCATTTTGCATTTTACTTAAAATCATAGGGAAAATAGGACTAAAAGCAGCGTGAGAAACTCTCTTTATCGTGTGTACGAAGAGAAGACTACATCATTGAATATTTTAGGGAGTGAAAACGTGGGGTCAAATAATCATGAAAATGATAGATATTAAACGATTTGAACCCAAAATCTAAAGAAAATAATAATTGAAAGTTTGTAATACGTGCGTAAAATTTTATATCAAAGATTAATTTATAAGATGTTAGGAAATGATAACATATTATTAGTAGAAAAAAATTAAAAAAAATTGTATAAGTATTTAGAATTTCAAAGAAGAGCACAAACCAATTCATCTCAATGGGTTCAAGAGTAATTGAACCCAAAATTTTCGTTCGATTTAAATCTACTCAAATCGAATGTTGATTAAATTTTAATAAAATAAAACTCGAGTAACTTGTTATATGTCTCGTCTCATTTACAACCCTATTAACCAGTCCCTCGTTTCATCTTGTTTCAACCCGCTGGGTTGGTCTCTCGTTTTTATGCCCATCCAATCGGCCATTATGTTACCACCTTTGAGGCAAGACTATAGAAGGGCCTATTGGGAGTTAGGCCCATTTGATGGGTTTGATAATTGAATCCGGCATTGCCGTGGGAACAATAATAGTGGACGACACAAACAAAAGTATGAGAACCACATTTTGCTGACATTTTGGCTAACGTCGTGGAAGACTTTGTGTACCTTGTTGAGGACTTTACTCCCCAATAGAATATGGTGGCTTATTATTATCATCATAATGGTCGTCGAGTTCAACGAAACAGGTGCAGAAACAGGAGCATAGAGAACCCAACAATTGCGGCGATCCCTTCAATCCGCAGGATTACCAAAAACGAAACGACAAATGTGACGTGAGAAAACAAAACCATAAGAAGCAATCTATTGGTTTGAGTTATATATACTTGTAATTATAGCAACAAAATGATCACCACTCCATTTTTTAAAGCACTCAAGGACATGAGATCATTCATTCAAATACAAAAGCATGAGCCAATCTACTATTTTTTAAGTTGTTTTATTTGGGTTTTAAGGAACCGACATTTAGTTTCCTTTGCGAAGAGAGGAGGGGATAGAAGCGGGAAACCAGGATTTTGACATGCCCCCTCCACGTCGTCTACTTGAAGCAAAGGAACTGTCTTCTTCCTTTGATTCCGGAGAGACGAGGACCTCAAATTCATCTTTCTTCTTCACTAAATGCTGCCATTTGCATTTGACTACAACAAAACTAATCTTCCAAATAATTCTATAATAGTATTTTAACTTATAATAATTACAATATTGATCTATTAGGATAATATAAAATGTTCTATTTTTCAAATACTCTAAATCGATTACAAAATAATATTTGTTTATATATTTTCTTAATCTATTAATAACACACATCCTATAAGTACATTTTTCTTAATCTAATACTTCTAAGGATAATAAAACTCTCATTTATCACTGAGGTCACTCAATGAATTCTAATTTAATTTTGAGTTTATGAATAGTTTAATTAAAAATATCTATAATATTTAAATTTAAATTAATTGATCAATAAATCAAATTATTATGACTAGTATGATATTTTATCTCTCCTTGCAATATGCCAAGTTGAGTTCAAACTTTTATATGTGATATTTTTTAAAATATAGTGAATATAGGGCACCAAAATTACTTCCCTGAATTTTGTGGTTGACTCTCCGACAAGAATAGATTGAGAGGTACTAAGGTGAATTGTACTCTTAAAAGTTTTAAATCGCTATATAATTTTGATGATTTCTCTATTTTATATTGATGATCTAATTTTCATCCTATAATTTTTTAATTATATATTACTGATATAAAATCTTACGTCTGTCCATATTTTCCAATCATAAACATTTACAATTACACTTGAGATTTGGATAAAATAATGAGCATTTGCTTTCCTGTTTTCCAATAGGTCCGAAATATTAATGGGAGATGGCAAAAGGACACTCACTCCATGTGTTAGGATCTCAAACCCAATCTTGTATTTCCCTTTGTTTTTTAAATTCCGTTATCGTTATGAACGTGGTTTGTTGTGGATAATATAAAATAGAATACATTAGTTATTTGATATTTCATGTATTCTATTATCTTTGTTTGAATTAAATAAAATTAGGCTG